GGAAAAGATGAGATACAGCCTCTATGCTCAGAAAGATGGCTAATGTACACTCAGTGGAATGTTCCACATTCAAAGATATTGAAACAAGCACCAAACATGATGAAATGAGCTCACTTTTAACTATTTGTGTGCTTTAAGTGAAACAGGCCCATAGAAAACACAATTTCTCTGTTTAGTCAACAGGCATCTCAATGCATCATGGTTTCACTGCATCACCATATCTCGCAAAAAAAGCCTGATTGAAAGCCAATTGATGGCCGTAATATCTGGCGATCCACCAATGCCAGATATGGATATCTCAACCATTGTGTTTTGTTCAGCCTTGATTGCTGCATGATGAATGGAATGATGGGTAATGAATGAATAATGAATGAATGAAAATGAAATATCCTCAGAAATAGTCTACACATCTGTGTGGGCATGTAGCTCAGAAACTACAGGCCTTAAGAAAGGCAGGGCAGTGCACTGCATTGAGAAATCTTCAAAATGTCTTTCAGTTCAAAACCCCATGCAGCTGTAGAACGCTGCTTCTGTGCGCTGCCTACCAACTTCAGAACACATGCCTGGTTGGCCGGTTAGATAATCTTTGCCCATGTGGCGGGTCAATTTGACCCCCCCCCCTCCTGGGATCTCAGGAACTAAGAAAGCCAGAGACACCAAATGCACAGGGTGTATTGACCTGTACATGAACTCACTTGGTCAAAGTTAAAGGCTCCTAGGTCATTACCTTTGGGTTAAATAAGGTCAAACAAAGTCAAATTTCAGGTTGGTCTCCAAAGGGTCCATACAACCTAGATCACGATTTTAGGCAAAAGGTCACATGCTCATTAAAGTCAGTGACCTCATTTGACCCTTTGAAGGTCGTGGTGACCAAAATCATACAAGGACACTTTGAGTTTCGCGTTTGGATAAGCAGCAATGATTATACTGGGCAGTATGTTCCTAAAAACAAAATGCTGACCCGGATCATTCTAGGTCAGCAACCTATTCTGGCCTTTAAGAAGGCATATAATGTGATCCCTGCCATCAGCAAGTTCGAACTTAGCGCCAGGAACTATCCCATACAGCAAGCATGAGATTAATAAAACAGGGTGGTTTTAACCTTGGTCTGAGCTTCATACCTGAGCATAGGTCGATTTAATTTGCTTATTCAATTGTTTTGTTACCAAAGGAAGTATTTCGGAGATGTATGGCTTCGAGTAACACTCCGTTGCTGGATCAAATTGAATGATTCCCTAGAAATTGCCTTCGCTTAAACAATGGCCTGACTTTGACCCGCCATAGGTCAGCGACCTTACAGGCTGCATCTAAATTTTCGATGCCAGACGATTTGCTATTCCATTGCCTGCAGCTATGCAAAATTTGGTGCGGCTTCGCCGCGTTGTTCGGAGACCATTCCGGAAAATCCTTCGGGGGGCCAATTTGACCCCGCCCGAGCGCGTGCTAAATAAGTTAAGTCTTCACAGAAAAAATCGTAATCCAGTGGGCATTATTTGTTCGGTTTTCAGGGTACTAATGTGAACCACCAAAACCGGTATGGAAGGTCTAACATGGAGGATCGAATGGGCCTAACAAATGTGAGCAGTGTGATTTTAGGCAAGGGCATTCATGTCTGACAATCCTAGACTTCTGACACTGGGCATATGAATATTTTGATATAAGCCAACTTGTTTGAACATGCTCTGATTTGTCATTTTTCATAATATTCCTCACAAGACTTAATTAAACTTTAAGTGTGATGATACTTTGGTAGTTTGTTAAAATGGACAGAATGGTGGCTTGCAGTGTGGCAGTAAGTGCCACAATGTTAAATGGGTCCAAATTTTCATAGCAAAATGTGTATGCTGTGACTATTGGGTTTAGGTCGTGTGCCTTTTCCGTGAATGACCATTGCAAACAACGTTGGAAATGATAAATAGATTTGCTGCAGAATATTTAGAAAACACTCGTTGGGTAGTAAAAACTAAACTTGTTCAGGGTTTCAGCTTTTATAAGATCATGTGTGTAGATGGAGGGCATATGAGAGAGTTGTGCATCATGGCTCAAGAACATGTGATTGAATGGTAAAATTCCTTGGTGTCAAGACCAGAATGTTGGTTTCGGAACCTGGTGTGGAAGACAACACATTTACAACTCCAGAATGCAGGCAATGGGTACAAACCGCCATGCATGTAAAAGGATGTAGCCATGCTTTGAAGGTTGATTTCCATTTATAAGCCAGATGCTAGTGTTCGAACAAAGTAAAATATCCTCACATGTACCACAGGCGAGTACAGGCCAATGTATCAAAACCAGACATTATGTGACTCAGCCTCATATGACGTGCTCAATTCCAGCTGAAGAAACAAGCGTCCAAAGTCTACCTTCTCACTCCAGCAGCGGCCATGGCGTCGCAGTCTCTGGAGATCGTGCTGCCAGGTGACGTGATCAAGACAGAGGGTGACCTGGACCTGGGCCCGGGCCTGCGTCGCGAGCGGCACGGCTGCGTGGTGCTGCAGCCGGGCGTGCACCGGTTCCGCGCGCCGCGAACCCACTGGGTCGACACCCACTGCCGCCGCTACGTGCCGGTGCGCGGCCAGTGCGTGGTGGGTACGGTGTTAGCGCGCGCCGGCGACATCTTCCGTGTGGACATTGGAGCGCACGAACCGGCCACACTCTCCTACCTGTCGTTCGAGGGCGCCACCAAGAAGAACCGCCCCGACGTGAAGGTCAGGACTGCGGAAGATTCGTTGTGGGGTGTGCATTGCGTAGGGGGGCCGGGGGACGGAAATGTACATGCTAATGCGCTTATTCCAACCAACTTAGAAATAGCTGGTCTTTTGGAGGGATAGCACCACTGACCAATGATACTATGATCTTTGGGAATCCGGTGCACCAGTGTCGCCATGTATTAGTAACCACCAGCGAGATTAAATGGCCCAAGTTCTGAAAAAGTATTCATATTTAATAATTCTACACCTATTTGAACTTCCACTTTGAACGGGCCTCCGGAACAAATGTGAAACTGCTGCGGTGTTGTGTTTTCTGGCCCTTAATCTGGCGGACACCGGCGGCAGGTGGGTGACCTGGTGTTCGCGCGCCTGCTGGTCGCCAACAAGGACATGGAGCCGGAGCTGGTGTGCGTCAATTCGAAGGGTCGCGCCGAGGGCCTGGGCGTGCTGTCGGCGGAGGGGCTGGACTTCACCGTGCCGCTGCACGTGTGCCGCAAGGTGCTGGCGCCCGCCTGTGGCCTGCTGCGCCGGCTCGGCTCCGAGCTGCGCTTCGAGATGGCCGTCGGCATGAATGGCCGCGTCTGGGCCACCAGCAACAGCCTGCGCTACACGGCCGCCGTCGCCAGCGCCATTTGCGCCTCTGAGCACATGGACGAGGCGCAGATCGCCGCCATGTGCCGCGAGGTGGCAGCAGTGGCGCACCAGCGGCGATGAGCACGCGCGTGTGGGCGGGGGAGGAAGGGCTATGGCGTTGCGTTGTGATGTGCGTGGAATGCTCGGAGGATCGTGGCGAGTGCACAGATCGTGCAAATGGCGTACGTGACCTGGCACCCGTCGGTGATCTGGGAGATCTGGCGTGGCGGGGTCTGGTCCACGGCGTTTTTACATGCGCGTCGCTTCACGCTGTGGTTCGTCCCGTTCTGGACCCGAGCCCACCCAACCGCAGTCGGCGGGCGGAAGACCGGCAGAGGGCGGAGTGGTCACCACTGCGGACAATTCCTGAGCATCTAGCTAGTTTTGATGAGAACCTGGGGTTCTCTGCGCTCTGCGGCGTCTCACAAGCCACTGGTCAGATGCGTGTGTGTGATCATCGCTGACACCGTGTCCAGCATATTTCACGTGCGAGATCAGGTTACGTCCTCTTGTCTGGTGCCAAATCTTGCTCAGTTACATGTGAAGTGTGCTTCTCCCCATTCTCCATTGCAGTATGTTGCATGAAGGACGAGGGTTAGCGCATGTGCTGCCCGGGTTATCGCAGAGATGAAAGGGCAAGTCACTGGAGTCACGGTCACGTTCATTTCATTCGCGCTCTGTTGGCAAAGAATAAAAAGCCGTCAAAGCGTTAAGTTTTTGGTTGCTTGCTGAAGTTCTCACAGCCAAAGGTAAGCGTACAAAAAACGTACCAGCGTTCAGCACTGCTGGCGTTATGAAGCAACGTGCTCGTAATAACGCACAAACGGCGTTAGAAACTGCATCACGGCGGCCGTTGCGTTCATGTCTGCACGGTTTCCCCACACACAGCGCGGAGCTGGGACCGGCTTTGGTCTCGACGTGAGCTGGCGTGCCCCTGCAACACCCATATCGGCTACGGCGCGCCCAATACACGGGGCTGGACCACACAACCATGAGCAGGACTGTGTAGGGAGGCCCGGTCCAAGACCAAATCGGGAAGAGCGGCGGAGGGTTCTCCATCATTGACGCCGGTGGTCGGATGCCCTCGGGACTCGCGTAACCACGACATCATTCGCGGGCGACAGACGCACCGCCGCTCCAGAGTCTGCAGTTACTGGCGCCGTCAGCCGTTGAAGAACTGATGTACGCTGGCGGCCAGCGGCTCGCCGAGCAGCGGCGCCAGCTGCGCGACGCTGGCGCCGGCTAGCGCGGCCAGCGAGCCGAACCGCGCCAGCAGCTGGTCGGCCTTGCGCGCACCCAGGCCAGGCACGGCCTGGACGGCGGCGCGCAGCTGCTGTTCGACCGGCGGCTCGTCCAGCGGCTGCGGCACATCCCGGTCGGCCGCCGCCAGCTCGGCCAGCAGCTGCGCTCGGACACGGCCGACACGGGCAGCACGGTCAACTGCAGCTCGAGTGCAGCCAGCAGTTGGATCTCGTAGAACTCACGGCTGGTCACCGCCGTCCGCTCCATGATCACCACCTGGCGGCGAGCGGCGGCGTCAGGCGGCGGTGGCGACGCCACGGCCCAGCGCGGAAGCCGCCGCTCCTGCTTACATAATGTGGAGAAGGGATCTGCGTCGTCCCGGAGTCGACCGCGGAGAGGAGAGTTTGCAGCAGACAAGACTTTCCACTCCAGAACGGCGCAATGTCGTGCGCACCAATGTGCACTCACGCAGCCTGGTAGGACGCCGTGCATTCTGCTCAGGTGTACATACAGGCTTACAAGAATATTCCAGGCCTACTAAAAGGCGTTTGGGGCCTTCAAAGGTCATCCATTCTTTATCCGGAGCCATACTTAGTGCAGCAGCCCAGTCAATCGAGCAGTCGCCATACGAGCTCAGCCAAAATTACAAAGCAGATCACGCAGTAGTCTTGCAGGGATCAGAGGCAGGTTATTCGATGATGCTGCTACCCAATCTGATATGAATCATACGGCGTTGCATGAAAAGACGGAAGTCGGAACTGCGTTCACACAAACTGCACAGAGGATTCTCCACTGCTGCCATGGATTGCACTATCATGTCCCACAAATCTGGCTGTCTACCTGCTAGCACAACCTTTCTGTTAACCATTATGCTGGTTGATCGCAAGCTTTTCAGGAGACTGCTGGCAACCGTCCGGCCGACCGGCGTCCTCCCCCCAACGCCAGCGGAGGTGTACCTGGCGCGGCAGCGGTGATCGGCTGAGCGTGTGCAGTCGACGGCGACACAGCCCGCTGTTCATCAGGTCACGCTCGGTCAGCAGCACCACGGCCGTGTCGGGCGCCGGCAAGAAGTCGGCCACACCCATCCGGTCCGAGAAGGTGACGCGCAGCTGCGAGCCGCGCAGCAGCGCCGCCAGCTCGCTCCGCTGCCAGCGCAGCGACACCAGCAGCTGGCCGGGCGGCACCGGCTGCCGCTGCGGCGTACCCGAGCCCTGCGTCAGCGCTGACATCGTGGCTGCAAAGGAAATGGTGTGTTAGGGCGGACGCAACCTTTGATTGCAAAGGTTGGTATTTGTTTTGTGCTGTTTATCTCATTTTCCCATATTTGTGCTTTGTCCCCCTTAATATTTAATTCCCATTGTCTATGAGTTGCAGACCACATGTCTGCTTACCATGCATAAACAACCAACTTGCTTTTCATGAACAAAGCAGCACTCCAGCAGACTGAGCTATTGGTCATTTGATTCTTGTCTGCTCTGTAACCTCATTCATGGGCTGTCAGCAGTAGGATGCTGCGGAGTTCCTTAGGTACCTGCTGACGGGTCTGCACTAGAACGCGAACCGTAGCACCAGTCTACCCAACACCATCGCCTTAGACATCCAGGAATGTTTCAATGCAAGCCAGAAGCCGATACAGCTTGGAAACGTCTTCTGTGCCGGAAGAACTTAAGTTGTGATTTGCTTGTTAGACAGCTCAGGTCCATGCTGCTGTGCAGTGTGTGAACACGCATGTGTGTCTGTAGCGTCAAACCCATCCTGGATCAGAGTCTGCTGACCCCGTCCGTCTACCGTGGTCACGTGCAACCACGGGCCTGCTTCAACCTCTTCACCAGCGAGAAATCGCCCCACAGAGACAAAAGACTTGCATGTGTTACAAATGTCAAAATCTTGAGATGCACAATGGTTTTAACAGGCTGGGGCCCCCTTCCCACCAAGTTGACAATATTCAGCTCCTTAAGAAGCATGGATGTCTACATTATGTTGCTGCAATGCTCACTTGAAGTTTTATTTATCTATTACGCTTATTGGCCTCACTAATCCCTTGCTCAGGATCAGCCAATCAGCATCAAGTCATATGGTGGTCAACCCAGCACCTGGGTGCCTCTGGGTTGGCAAATCACTCAAGCAATTTAGAATGTCAGGACTCAGGATGAAAGGCAAAAGCTTCATACCCCAGAAAATGTGTGTGAAGATCATTGCTGGAAGCACAAATTTAATATATTATCTGTACATCTGCAATGCCAAACCAGAAAAATTTTGGTGTGCCACTCCTGCTCTGCCAGGCAGGCACACTGCATGCCATGAAAAAATGATGTGGTGGCCAACCACTCAGGCATCACGTTTTTGAGCCAACCATCATTCTGGCAACATGATTCTGGGCCACTTCATCATTCTAGCATGCTGTTTTTGGGCCACTTCATGGCCTTCTCAGAACATCCATACTTGGGAAACTAGCACAAGTCTGCTAACTCCACAAGGCTAACAATGCATGCACACATCAGGGCTAAATAAAACAGAGTATAAATATGATAACTGTTCCTGAACTGTCCATATTTGGGTCAAAGACCTGCTCTCATGCTCCCAGACCCACATATCTAAAAAGGCTAGCCCAGTCCAAAATTCACTGCACTGATTTGGGGCCATTTTATTCTTGGATTGTTCCAGTTACCATAATAGGCAATAAAGGCACATTCAGGTTAAATGCCTCCAACATACTGTGCTCAGAAGCTGTCGAGTTCAAGCACAAATTGCTTTTAGAAGCTTCCTATCTTTTTATAAAAACTGTGCTGAGGACAATTAAAAACGCAATCATGAAAATGCCGGCAACCATGAAGAAATGCATGTATGACGTGATCAGGTTCCTCATGGTGGCTGTCATGAAGTTATCACATACTGACCACTGTTGTCATAAGGGAACAGTAAAACACCAAAATGTCAATTTGTATCCTTTTGTGAGGGCTTTGGCCTGCCAATGTTGGATTCTCCATGTTTGCCCGAGAACTCCAAAAATTTTGCTTGGAATATTAAAAATGCAAGGAAAAGTAGACGACCGCACACAACCTGGGGAAGTCCACAAACATGAGCCTATCTTCTTGGGGCATCATTTTTGACCTTTGCTGGTATGCTGTTCAATTTGAGGAATCACTGGTAAATAATACACGAAATCACAAATACCAATGCTGTCAAAAGTAGTATCAGCCCGTCGAAAAACACCAGTTTGGCGTAGGTTAGGTCATTGAGTCCTCAGCTCAGCCACTGCAGGAAGTACTACCGACCTTTCTGCATGGAAAGCTGTAAGCAAGATAGCAGCAGTCAGGCTTTCAGAGAAACGCACTCACCCGCCACCCAAACGTGGACCAAGCAGCTACCACAAAGCCTTCGAGCAGCGCGGGCCGTAAGCTAAGCCAAGGAAAACTCGGAGAGCTAGGGTGGACTAATCTGGCAGCGAGATGATGACGTCACCAAGAGTCTGTTTGGTACGCGTATGGTGCCCGGTTAGGGTCCTCCACCAGAGGACCCCCGGCCCACTCGCAACGGCCCGGGTCAAACGAAGCATTGTGAGGATCTAGAATAGCTTCAAAAAGAGAGTAAGTGTATCGGACCGCTGCTTGGAGATTTTAAGCGTTGAAACTTGGAGCCCACGATTTACGAGTTTCCTCATAAGTTAACAATTCGTTTACAATGAGGTTGAAATCCATGAAAGTTGTGGCGCCGCCACGTTGTAAGTACGTCACGGGTGTATGCTGCCAATCACCTCGACCCAGTGTGTTAAACATCGGGTATATGAAAGCCCAGTGCAACATTTTTAGTATGCTATCAGAGATCTACGCAGATTTGAGCTACAGCTTTAGTTCTCACCAAATTATTGGCAGCCTATAATTGGAGACAGTGAGGCGCAGACTATACGTTCGTAAAGGCATTTCATTTTTTTTTGTCCAAAATATTCGCGACAAATTGTCAAGGACATAGATGCTGCATTGCACTGATGGCTTGTATCGGCTGCTAGCAAGCAGCTCATTATATTCATTATTCACAGTGGGAACTGGCAAAAAATACCTGGTCGCCTCGGACTCGAACACACGTCAGTTATGAACTCCGCCCGCTACCAACTACGCCACTGAGTCTACGCCACGCGCCTCGGAAGTCGAAAAATTCGTGGCATGCATTGCATGAAAAATTTCGCACCACGCGTTGTGGGAGCTTAACCTCTCTTGATAAGAGAGACTAACAGACCGGCGCAAGGCAATAACATAATATTTCTTTTGGTGCCAGGTTCGTCGAAGGCGGC